GGGAAGAGGTAACTATGGGGAGGAAGTGGGAGGGGAGCTGTTGCATTGCGGTAAACTGTGGTCAATGTCATGAGACGAAGTATATATGAACCGCTGTATGAAAGTGAATTTGCTCTGTAAACCTTTACCCAAATACAATCAATCAATCAATAAACTGTTCCAAACTGTATTTCAAGTTTCCTGAGGACCTTTTGGATTCCAGAACCGAAGCAGTGCTGTGCATGAATTAAATGCTACATAGTTCAGATAAAGGAGACACACAAATATACTGAGAGGGAATGGGATAAGGAAGTAGTCACTATTAATATGGTATTTGGGATATTTCCTCTCATTTAAAACTATAAATGTGTTTCTAAATTAATCTTAAGGAGATAACCATACAAGGGTACAGAGAAGTATGCATATACACATTCACAATGAGTGCACTTATTTCAGTAAAAATTTGAAACAACTGTTAATCAGTAAGGTACCAGTTAACTAATACTAAAAAAACAAGCTAATAGTACATAAAAAATATGGTTCCATTTATGTAAAATGCATCCAGGACTGCTTATATTTGTGCAGAGTTGACTACCAGAAGATTCCCCAAAATGTGCCTATTTCTCTAGGTGATAGACTTAAAGTGATTTTTCTTGTTATTATTTTTCTGAATTGGTTTTATTTCTTACCATGAACATATACAAGAAAACAGGGCTATTTAAAGACGTTAGGTGAGGGAATTTCCAGTTTAAGTATCTCAAAGACTATAGTGTACAATTTCCTTACCTTGACTTTGTACTTCAGCCCAGTCCAATGGAACTGGAGGTTTCCTTTTCCGCCATAGTTTGTCCATAGTCAACAGATACCTGATGTCATCTTTAAAAAGCTTCAAAATCAATCAATCAGTAAATAAAAGAATAAACTGCATGAAATATTTAGTGTACAGCACCTATGCTGATAAAATAAAACAAGGTTCCTATGCTGCTTTATCATAAATATACTGTGAAATCTGTGTAATTTAAAGATACATGCTATATATAATAATAGATTTTCAAAAGAAAAACGTGAAATATTTAAAACTTTTTAAAAGGAACTTTTACACAGACCCTACATTTAAAGCAGTTAAAAGCAGAGGTGCTTAGGGAAAGCTAGGTAAGGAAACTGACTGAAGTGACTGCCTTTACCCTCCTCAAAGTCCTAAAGCTCCAAGGGTAAATATATACCACAAGTGTATAAATCAGGGCCAAATAAAAACATAAACACTAATTCCACAACAAATGAATATAGCACAGATTAAGGTATGACGTCAATCAACGAACTGCACATGCAGAAACTGTGGAATTGGTGTATGTTCTGCTATGTATATTTAAAAAAAAAAAAAAAAAAAAAAAATCAAATATAATCACTGAACTTACACATACCAGTTATCAAAATCTCCAGAGTTCATGGGTTCATGCCAATAAAGCATACACATGCTACATGTGTTCAATGACAGGATTTCATAACTATCTGCAAAATCTTTGAAATGTGCCCCCCCACCTCAAGAAAGGCACACACACACACACACAAACACACACACAAAATAACCACAACAAACCACAGACTGAGAAACTATCACAAATAAGAAGTGAAAACATGATGGGATTTCAGGTGATTTTAATATTTTTACTCTTCCTTAATTGTATTTTCTATTATTGGCTAATCTAATGTACCTATTGCATACACAAGGTAAGAATCTAGACTTGGGTAAATAAAAAAAATGGAACTATTTCTATTGAAATATATGCAATTAAACTATTATTTATTAAACATCCTTTACCCTTCAGAAAACAAGCCAAATTTATAAACAAAAACAATTCAGTGTAAAAAGCACGTAATTCCCTGAATGCTATGAGAATTCAATGAACAACAAAATTCCATCTGTATGAGGAATAAAAATGGAGGATGCAACATAAGAAATGGGCAAACATCATTATGATGTGGGGAGTAAGGTAACAAATAGAGCTGAAGACATTTTACAGAGGGCCTTGATCACTGGGCAGAAAGCCAACTATCAATGCTACATGATACATGCCACCCAGAATTTCAAAAAAAAAAAAAGAAATACTTAAAAACTTTTCAAAAGGAAATTTTACAAAGACTCCTACATCTAAAACAGTTAAACCTCAGGGTTTTATCCTAAACCATCTTCTCACTCTATACTCCCTATACTTCCTCCCTAAATCTCACTCATTACTATTAATGATGGCAACTGATTTGATTTGGTTAATAAACCTATGAACTGCAATTACATCTCTAGAGACTTACAGAGCCACTTATCACCTTCTCTCTAATGTTCCCCAAGAATCTCAATTATGTCCAAAACTAAATGTATCAACTTCTCCTACCCCGATCCCTTACACAGGCATTTGCTTCCTACCTCACCTATTCCAGATGTCCGGCAAGAAAATAGGTATCATTCTTGATTCCTCACCTTAAGCATACAAAGTCCTGTTGAATCTACTGTCCCTTAATGCTCCACTAGCAATAGGTTTTAGTTCAGATTATTCTGGCAGTACACAACCCCAGGGAGCAAAGTTCCATACTGTCTATGCTATGGATGCCACTCCCTAGAGTGGTGTACCGTGCACAACCTCTACAGACTACCTTTCAGTGGATTTCCATTGTCCTGATATCCCATGAACTATAAAATCCTGTCTTATCTGGCCTTAGCTTCTCTCTCCAGTCATCTCTTTCTGTTCTCCTCTTTTTGGGAAATTATTCTAGTTCTGCATTGTGAGACACTCCTACTCCTATTCCCATACTTAGTGTTTTAAGAATTGGGTTTAAAGGCCACCTCCTCTAAAAAGTCTCTTTTGAACCTTTAAATTAGGTTAGGTCTACTTACTAAAAGAGTTCCACTGCATCAAAACTTAAGTTACATACTTTGAACCTAAATTATTTGTTCAATGTTGACTTCTCCACTAGATTACCCATTCAGTCTATAGATTGGGGACCCTGCCTTCTGTCTTGTTCACCACTGTGCTCCCAGTACTTAAAGCAGTACCTGGCACACAACGCAAACAAAAACGCAACCTCTGCTGTGGAGTTGGATCCGACTCATAGCGACCCCTCCTTGGGTTTCTGAGACCATAGCACTATGGCAGTAGATCGCCCAACCTTCCTTCTGAGGAGTGGCTGGTGGGTTTGAACCGCCAGTCTTCCGGTTATCAGTCAAATGCCTTAGGCACTAGGCCACCAGAGCTCCTCCTGGCATATAGCAGTGCTAAAAATGACCTATTAAGCAACAGAATAGAGTTGTGCTTCAGATTATTCTAACCTTCAAATGCTGCTCAGGTTGGAACGGAAACAGGTACTGAGAAGACCAGTTTGGAAAATACCACATGGTCCGTAACAGAATTTAGTGCATTTTCAAGTGTAATCAGAATAGAAAATATTTTCCAAGAGAAGACTGTAATAAGAAAATAAAATAAAATAGGTTTAAAAGAGTCATCCTGTCCCATATGTTACCACTGAGAAAAGAAAGAAGTGTAAGCTGAAAGGGGCAGTAGGCCATTTGTTTAGAAGAGTGTATATCTAGAAGCAGACAGAAGGAGCCAAGAATGTAGAGCTCTAAGATACAGGCCAGAAAGAAAATACAGTTGGGAAAGTAAGGTACAAGAGGGCATAAAACACAAACACACACACAAACATATCATGTTAAAGAGTTGGCCTTCATTAAAAGAGATTTCTCCCCTACAAAAGAAATGAAAACAGAGGAAAGATTTTGCAGTTAAGAGAAAACATTGTTGGCAGGTTAAATTCAATAGGGTGAAACTTCTTACTGTATCTTTAAGGTCATTTGCTTAGCATTAGAGTGGGAGAACAGATTAGGCAATTTAAGGAGAAGTGATACAAGTTTCAAGTACCCTACTGTGATACCACTCATCTGTCAATTTGTCATAATGTGGATTGTGTGTTGCCAGCAGTTCAAACTCACCAGCTGCTATGTGGAAGGAAGAGTGGGCAACTTTCGTAAAGAATTACAGCTTCAGAAACCCAATGGGGGTTGGATTTGACTCTGGCATTGAGTTTGGTTTTTTGGTTTATGAAGCTGGAAGGTTATGTCACCAGTATTTCAGACACCATCAGGTTCAGTCATGGTAGACAGATTTCAGTGAAGCTTCTAGAATTAAGACAGACTGGGCAGAAGGGTGAGATGATCCACTTCTAAAAAAACTGGCCACTGAAAACTTCATGAATGACAGTGTTAACACTATCTGATATAGTACCAGAGGATGAGCCCCTCTGGTCTGAAGGCACCCAAAACACAATTGGGAAAGAGCTGGCTCCTCAAAGTAGTGTCAACCATAATGACATGAAGCTTTTAGGACCTCCATTTGCTGATGGGGCATCACTTAATAAGAAGAAACAACTGCAAACATCCATTAATAATTGGAACGTGGAATGTATGATGTATGAATCCAGGAAAACTGGAAGTTGTCAAGTTACAGAAGGACAAATATTGTATTAGTTCACTATTGTAGTAAGTAAAAAAAAAAAAGGTTAATATTTGGAAGGAAACTTTCTTTGCTGGTTACCAGGGATGGGAGAGGAGAGGAGGGAACACTGCTAGACAGGTAGAGACAAGTACTGATTTGGGTGAAGGGAAAGGCAATATACCAAAAACAAGTGTGCAACGCGCTAACACTAAGGAAAACGAAAACACAGAGAGGTGCACAAGAGCGATAGACAACAAAGATAAACACCTTCACATATGCAACACTGCATTATCAGTGATAATTAACATTAATCTATGGGGAAATAGATGGGCAGACAAAAGGATACTGAATGGTTTAAAATCAGGAAGGGCGTGCGTCAGGGCTGTATCTTTTCACTGTACTTATTCAATCTGTATGCTGAGCAAATAATCCAAGAAACAGGACTGTATGAAGAAGAACGCAGCATCAGGATTAGAGGAACCCTCATTAACAACCTGTAATATGCAAATGACAAAACCTTGCTTGCTAAAAGTGAAGAAGACTTGAAGGACTTCCTGATGAAGAGCAAAGACTAGAATCTTCAACATGGATTAATACCTCAGCATAAAGAAAACAAAATTCCTGAGAAGTGGACCAATAAGCAACATCACAATAAATGGAGAAAAGATTGAACTTGTCAGGGATTACATTTTACTTGGATCCACAATCAACACCCACGGAAACAGCAATCAAGAAATCAGATGTTGTATTGCATTGGGCAAATCTGCTGCAAAATACCTCTTTAAAGTATTAAGGAACAAAAATGTTACTCTGAACACTAACGTGCACCTGATACAAGCCATGGTCGATCCAATAGCCTAGTATGCATGTGAAAGCTTGACGATGAGTAAGGAAGACCATAGAAAGAGCTGATGTGTTTGAATTTGTGGTGTTGGCAACAATACTGAAAATACCATGGACTGCCAGAAGAACAAACATTATCTGTCCTGGAACAAAGGAGTGGAATGCTTCTTGGAAGCGAGAATGGCCAGACTTCGTCTCACCTACTCTGGTCATGTCAGAAGGAACCAGTACCTCGAAAAGGATATCATGCTTGATAAAGTAGAAGGTCATCGAAAAATGGGAAGACCCTCAATGAGATGGAATGACACAGTGGCTGTAATGATAGGCTCAAGAATAACAAGGATTGTGAGGATGCTGCAGGACGGGGCAGTGTTTTCTTCTCTTGTACATAGAGCTAGTATGAGACGGTGATGACTTGACTGCACCTAACACTGTGATGAACTTATGAAAGTCAAGGTAGAACAAATAAAAAGACATATACATACCTGAGAATCTAGATGAGCAGTAATTAGGTGGAACCAATTAAGGCAATTTATAGCTAATTCTAAAAATATTCAGCAGGCAAGTAATAGATACTGATAAAGAGGGATTCCATTAAGAGGACAATAACAAGCTTAGGGAAGCAAGATTTAGAATAAGTCAATGAAACTGCCAACAGAAAAGATCAGAAGAAGAAAGGGGTATGTAAAGACAAGCAGAAATCAGTTATGAGGAAAACTAAGTTCAGTGTAAGTGAAGGAGGAAAGGACAACCAAAAAGAGAGGTTATCTAAACAAGTCTCTATTATTTTAGTTTAGTATAGGTGCTAAAATTTCAAAATCAATAAATGTATTATGACAATATTAGGCATATACATAGAGTATACATACATAGAATAAGTAAACTCAATTTTATGTAGTATTTAAAAATAAACAGAATCATGTAATACCATCTACATTATAAAGAAAATAAAGCTAACCTTGGTAAAAAGTTTAATTGGGTCATATCCAGTTGATTTAGCCCATTCTTTAGTGGAAATACGTTTAATGTCACCATCTTCATTAGATGCTCTGGCTCTGGCTTCAGCTTCCATTGGCTCCCCTACAAAACAAACATCATTTTACTTTTAACCGCATTAAATGAAAAACTGAGCTCCCACTCAAATTTTTTTTTGGAAACTAGGGTATGGGGGTGGGGTTACTCATGGAAGTCACCTGCATGAGACACATTCTAAGCTCCAGGAGAAAGGAAAATAACACGCTCATCAGAATTCTTTTTTCCACTTCACTTTCTGAAGGTCACATACATGTTCAAAGCACTGACTGGTACTGAATTCTGGAACCACCCCCAGACTAGAACAATGAACTTATGGAAATGAGTATTTCTGTATCTTGGTTTCTTTCATTTATCCCCTTTGCAATTTTCCCTTCATTCCCTGGTAACCAACAAAGTAAGTTTCCTTCCATATGTAAACTTTCCTTGACTTTTGACAATACTGGACTAATATTTATCCTTCTCTGATTGATTTATCTTACTCAACACAATGTCCTCCAAGTTCATCCATGTTATGAGGTGTTTCGTGTTCTACATTATTCTTTAGTGTTGCACAGTATTTCACTGTGTGTATCTACTACCATAGTTTAGCTATCCATTCTTCCATTTATGAGCACTTAGACTGTTTCCACCTCTTTGCTACTGTGAATAGTGCTGTGATGAACATGGGTGTGCATATTTATACGTCTTGGCTCTCATTCCTTTAACATACATTCACCCTGATATCTTCACCAGTAATATGGCCCATTTTTAAAAATACTGTCTTAAAAATAAAATGACACATTAAGCTTGTAACATTATCTAGCTCATAAAACAGATTAACAGCAAGCTGATTATGACTCATGGTGACCTCATGTATCACAGAGTGAACTGTGCTCCACGGAATTTTTAATGGCTAGTTTTTTGGAAGCAGATTGCCAGGTCTTTCTTCCAAGATGCTGCTGGGTGGACTCAAACCTCCAACCTTTTGGTTAGCAATTGAGCTCATTAATTAACTGGACCACCCTGGGACTCTGATCTAGCATGTAGTGGCAACTCTTTTTCTCTCTTAAGCTATCAAAGTTAAACTAGTAAAGAAAGACAGCAGTCACTAATAACAAAATAACACATCCCAAATATTTTACTCACAGGTGGCTTCAGGGTCAGCTCTGTCAGGAGACACTTCTTGATCAGCATCTTCTTCCCCAAACAACTGGCTATAATTTAATAGGAGTAAGTATTATGTAAAACAAAATGTTCTTAACAAGTGTGGTTATTTTTCCTACTTTCCTCACTAACACCTAATTTAAAATAATATACCAACGGTTTAGCAGGAATGAAGACAAAAAATGATAAATCACACTTTGTAAACTCAAAAGAATTATAGCAATATTTCGGGTAGCTTGCATCCTAATTTCAATTATAATATAAGCAAAGCTAAATTTTAGCAGACCTACGCCACTCATCGGGAGCTCTGGTGGTGTAGTGCCTAAGGCATCTGACTGCTAACCAGAAGGCTGATGGTTCAAACCCACCAGCTACTCCCTCAGAAGGAAGACTGGGCAATCTACTTCTGCAGTGATATTGCCTCAGAAACCCAAGGAGGGGTTCACTATGAGTTGGATCTCACTTAATGGCAATGAGTTTGGTTTTCTGGTTTTGTATGCCACTCATCATCTAGGTTCTACAAACTCTAATGTTAACATCTTTTATCAATAAATAGGTGAAATGCCTTTATATTACAACCTAAACAACATTCAAACTCTATAATAACATTTATAAAATACAACTGCACTTGGCTACCCAACAAACATTATTATCAAGTGCCAACTATGCCCCAGGCACTGCTGTAGGTTCAGAAAACTCAGCAGTGAACGAGGCTTTTTCTGTGTGTGTACTATGTATTTTACTACTGAACAGTCTTAAGAAACAATAAAAACGTATTAATCTGCTTCCAAAAAGCTACCCATTATCCTCTTTTGGTAATCTAGGTATCTAGAAAGTAGCTAAGAAGGTGATAAGAGAATCCTTTGGACAGTTAAACAAACAAAAAATCCCGTAATTTCAGAAGTTCCTAAGCTTGTAAGAAAGTACCCAGTTGTTTCCCAAAGTGGTTGTACCAATTTATATTCACACAGCATTTAAAAGTTCCTATTAATTCTTTTCTTCTCTAGACTTAATATTTTGCCAAACTAGTGAGTATAAAATGTATGTGCCGTCGAGTCGGACCCGACTCATAGTGACCCCTCCTTGGGTTTCCGAGGCAGTATCACTATGCAAATAGATTGCCCAACCTTCCGAGGAGTGGCTGGTGGATTTGAAGCGCCAGCCTACTGGTTAGCAGTCAAGTACCTTAGGCACTATGCTGCCAGAGCTCCCTGAGTATAAAATAGTATCTCATTATGGTTTGATTTTCCAATTTGAAAGTAAGTCCTAAGGTTAAACTTATGTTCCTTTGCTTACTGTCTATCTGGGCTTCCCTTTAAGTGACATGTCTGTTCATATTATTTTTATAAGGTTAACTTTTTCTCCTTGATTACTGGAATATATTCTGGATCACACTCTTCAGTTGACTATACATTGCAAATATTTTCTCCCATAAAGTGGATTACTTATCATGTAATATCTTTAGATGAAGATAGACATTATTAATGAATTTTAATCTATCAATCCTATCTTTATGGTTGGCATCTTTTCTTAAGAAATCACTCCCTACCCTTGATGTTCTGCCACGTTATAGTTTCTAGGCTTCGTCTTTCACATCTAAATATGTAATCCATGAGAACTTAATTTCTTATTTCTTTGAAGTAAGGAATAATTTCTGTCCATATGAATAACCAATAGTCCTCCTTTCACTTAATCTTCTCTGTGATCTAAAATGCAATCTAATTATTTATCAATTTTCCTTATACACAAGGCTTTGCTTCTGATCTGAGATGTACTTTCTCTCTCAATGGTCTATTTTTCTAGCTGTACACCAACACTCTAAGTTATTTTTAGTGTATATTAAATCTTGACAGCTCTTTGTTCAAGTCATCCCACGTTGTATTTCTCCAACAGTGCTCTGGCTCCTCTTAGGCCTTATTCTTGCATGTAAATTTTAGAATGAAGTGGTCAATTTCCAATAAAGTCCCCTGATGTATTTTAATCAGAAGTGTATTGAATCTATAAGCCAATTTAGAGAAAAATGACATACTGACAATAAAGGACTTCCCATCCATGAACCTTCCTTTTATTTGTTATTTCTTTTTATGTTCTTAACGTTTTATTAAGGGGCTCTGGTAGCATAATGCCTAAGGCACTTGACTGCTAACCAGAAGGCCGGCAGTTCAAACCCATCAGCCACTCCTCGGAAGGAAGGTTGGGCAATCTACTACCGTAGTGATACCCCTTTGGAAACCCAAGGAGGGGTCGCTATGAATTGGGTCTGACTCAATAGCACATAACAACAACAACAACAATAGTTTTATTAATTTTCTATATTGGGTCTTACTTAAGATTTGTTCTGAGATACTACATGATTTTTGAAGCTTTTATATTAAGCCTGCCTCTTATATCCTTTTATAGTTATTTATTTTTAAATATAGTTATCTATTTTAAAATTACTTTTTAACTGCCTGATGGTATGTACAGAAATGATAGTGGTTTATTTTTTAATAATGCTCTGTTAGTGGGCTAGTGCCCATGGGGTAGTTCAGTTAATGTACTCAGTTGCTAATTGAAAGGATGGAGGGTAAACCACTCAGAGGCATCTTGGAAAAGATCTGATGATCTTCCAAAAACCTAGTCACTGAAAACCCTGTGAAGCACAGTTCTGACACATATGTGGTTGCCACGAATCAGGGTGAATTCAACAGCAATTGGTCTGGTGAGTAGTGGGCCATATTGCAAAGCTGTCATTATTTCTAATAATTTATCTGTAGATTCTGTGGCTTTTTTTAGGTAGGTAATGATAATGTAAGGAAACAATAAAAGCTTTGTTTCTTCCTTTCCCAATTCTTATGTCTGTTATTTTCTTCTCTTACAGTGCTGGCTAGGAACTTGATTATAAAACCAAACTAAAGTAACAATAATGGGTATCCTTGTCTTATCCTAATTTCAAAGGGGATGGTTTAAATTTTTATCATTGAAAATAATGCTTGTGTTAAGTAAATGAATGGCAGATAGTGAAAGCCAGATTTCTCACTGCTGGAATAAGAATGGATTCATTCTATAATAAAAGGAACCAGAGTTCTTTGGACAAACAGCCAATTCAAGGACTGGGAAGAAAATATAAAAGATGAGTCTGTAGCATCTTGCAGTACCAGAATGGAAGGAAGTGCTCAAATAAACAAAAACACAACACACTGATGGGGATATGTCAAAGGGGCAGAGGAACCAACTCAAAGAACAAATTCCCAGTGGTAAAAGCTGAAACTATTTCAGTATCAAAATAAAGTACTGAATTATAACCCAAAATATAAAATAAATATCCATGAGTCCATACTGAGATAAATAAATGGCTGAATAAATTTAATGAATGGGGGAAAAGACACAAAGCTCCCACGCAGATTTCCAAATAATTCATATAGATATTCCCCACTCCTTAGGTGTGGGATGTACATGGTGATTTCCTCCCCACATACACAATATGGAAAGGGGGAAGAAAAGATAAACTTTAAGATAGGAAAACTTAACAAACACTATCGATATCAGCCAGAAAATCAAGGCCCACGAGAACAGTCAAAAATCACATTAATAGCATGTACCTTGAAATGATGTGATAAAATGCCATTTCTGTGGTTTTCTTCCCAAAAACCTATAACCCTAGTTTTTTCTCACAAAAAAAATCAGATAAATTCCAATAATGTACCATCCTATAAAATACCTGACCAGCACTCTTCAAAAGTGCCAACATGATAAAAAACAAGGAAAGTTAAAAACTGTTATAGCCAAAAGGAGTCTAAAGAATCATGCTGATGAAATGTAATGTGCTCTGATGGGATCCTAGAACAGAAAATGAACATAAGGTAAAAATTAAGGGGATCAGAATAAAGTATGGATTTAGTTCATACATTGAAGATCTTCTCTTTTCCTCCCACTTTACTAAAAATTTTTGCCAAGAAAGGGTATTTGCTCAATTTTACCAATTTTTTTTCTGTATCTTTACAGATTAATCATAATTAATCAGTTTCTCTAATTTCTTTAAGAAGTGAATGACATTTACAGATTTTCTATTGTTAAACCATCCTTACATTGCTGGAATAAATACAACGTGGTCATGGTACATTTTTTGTTTAAATGATTCGAAATTTATATGCTACTATTTTGTACAATACTTTTCCATTCATATTTATAAAGACTGACTTATAATTTTCCTTTCCATGCCCCAATGCCCTTTGGTATCAGACATGCTAGCTTCATAATACAAACTAAGGAGTATTTGCTCTTTTATTATGTCTCTAGGAGTTTACAGATTAGAATGATCTAGTCCTTGCAAGTTAAGTAGAAATCACCTACAAAGCCACATAGGCTTGGTGCACTGTATTTACAAGAATTATAATTACTGATTAAATTTCTCTAAGTAATGGTATTGTTCAGCCTTTCCATTTCGTCTTTCGTCACTTCTGTAAGTTGTTTCTTGTTTTCAAATTGAATTTATCCAGTTGATTAAACTCTTATATGTATTAGCATGGACATCTCATGATACCTCCCCCATTATTTAAATTAGATGCACTATTTAAGTATGGGAGCTCTGGTGGCATAGTGCCTAAGGCATTTGACTGCTAACCAGAAGGCTGGCAGTTTAAACCCACCATCCACTCCTCAGAAGGAAGACTGGGCAACCTACTTCCACAGTGATACTGCCTCAGAAACCCAAGGAGGGGTCGCTATGAGTCGGATCCCATTTAGGTTTGATCTAGGTATATCTTCTTTTTAAAAAATACTCTTGTCATGTGTTTTGGTGGAAGTTCACACAGCAAGTTAGGTCCTCATTTGACAATTTCCACATCAACTGGTCAATGTCATTAGTTACATTTTTCATAATGTGTCTGTATTTTCATAATGTGTCTGTATTTTATTTTCTGGTTGTTCAATTTTCAATACTCTAGTTTCCCAGGCCCCTCATCTTTTCACCTTTGCTTTTGTTCTCATATAGATGGTTTTCTAGTAGAGCATCATATTTATGGGTAACAGCCTTTATTTTGTGTGCTACTCTGCTACTTCATGAAAAGATGTTATCAGGGGATAAGTTTAGTTCAAAGTTTAAAGTGTCTCAGGAAGTCCTCTGGTCTCAACTGGTCCAGTTTTTTATTTTTTTAAGAATTTGAGTTTTATTCTACATTTTTCTCCCATTCTATCTAGAACCACCTATTGTGACTCTAGTCAGAGGTGGTATAAGGGTGCCATCTAGTTTTAGTCTTAGGGTGGATGAGGCTGTGGCTTGTGCAGGATATCAGCCTTGTAGACTACTTTCTTCTCTGAGATTTTGGTTACGTTACTCCTGCTCATAATGAGTACAGACCAACAGCCTTATCTTAGATGGCCACTCACAAGCTTTTAAGACCCCAGACACTTTTCTTGTCACTAGAATCCAAAACATGACCTTTGTGAACTATATGCCAACTGACTGAGTTGTCCCATGAGTCTATAGTCTTAAGCTTTCAAACCCACAAAAACAAAATTCAGACAGCGTTTGGTTATGTCTGGTGAGTATCTGTATTAGTTGCATCTTCAATGAAGACATTTCCTTGCACACACACATATGTATCCACCTGTACCTATCCAGAAGGAAGGTCTGGTGGTGGAATGGTAAAACATTCAGCTGCTAACCAAAAGGTCAGAGGTTTGAACCCTACGAGCCACTCTGTGGGAAAAACATGAAACAGTCTGCTTCCATAAACATTTACAGTCTTGGAAATGCTATGAGGCGGTTCTACTCTGTCCTATAGGGTCACTAAGAATCAGAATCCACTCAGTAGTACCTACCCCTATACCTACATGCCAATACGCATCCATTTGTGACTATACACTCGTTTTTTGGTCTTTGTTAGTGTTATTGCCATATTATATCAAATTCTTTAGTACAGGTATCCTCTTAATTTGAGTGTTTCTCAGAGACATCATTAATTTTGGTCATACTATGCTCACTACATCCACATTCAATGCGACTTTCCCTTCCCCATCACCGAAATTATCTATGATCTAAAGTGTGCGTCCCCATATCCTCATCTCTCTCCCTACTAGCCACCAATGAATACTGCTGTCCTTATAGATTTGTCCTCTTATGAAAGTGGGACCATAAAATATTTGTCCCTATGTGCTTGACTCTGGTAGCATAGCGGCTAAGTCACTTGCCTGCTAACCAGAAGGCTGACGGTTCAAACCCACCAGCCACTCCTCGGAAGGAAGGTTGGGCAATCCTACTTCCGTAGTGA